GCCATCTGCTTTCGCAGGCACCTTGCCAGTCTCACACAGGAAGCAGCAGTCTTGCAGGATTCTGCCAACCCCTTTTCACCGCCCCCAGGAGATGTGAGGCACTGGGGCAAGGGAATGTTCTAGCCTCACATGTAACTCTTTCCTCCAAAGGAAAATTGTGCAACCTCTTGTTTGGTCCCACAGTCTGAATAGTCTTGACTGAACATTAAAAAAAAAAAAAGCAACAAAGCATTCCTTCCAAAGGAATCCTTGCCTTTTCAAGAAGGTAAGCGTGGTCTGAAATGGAAGCATGTTATTAGCATTTTACAACTGGATGGAAAATGTGGCATTTGTGAGGAGTCTCTGCGGACCACTTAATCATCCCGAGAAACAATAATCACGACACGAATGCAATTTACATGCAAAAGAGGCGCACTGTCTGTGAGAAAGGCTCACGGAACACATTCCATGCCTACAGCCCGAGTGTGCTTCAGGAGTCCCGGCCTTTCAACTCCCCGTTAGAACACGATCATTGAGGGCTTTCTTCCAAATTAATAGTAAAACTAAAAGTTAGTTCAGAGCACTCTTATAGGCTGTTGATGGATGCATCAGTCAACTTTTTTAGAGGATAATTCGGTAACATCTATTTAAAACACATATCTATTTGGACACATCAATCACCACTTCTAAGAACTTATCTTACAGATAGGTCCACAAAATTATTTCACTATATGTCACAGGATCTTACTGCAGACTTATAATGAAAATAATCTAAAAATGCACTGGTAAGAGAAGGGTTTAACCAATTCATACAACCGAGAGACTATGGAGCATTAAAAAAAAGAGGTAGACCTAGAGGTTGTGACTTAATACACTTCAAGATACATTAAGAATGAAAATACATAGATATAAAATTTATGATATCTAAAATATGGATAAAAATTCCTGAGACAATAGAGAAAAATGTTCACAGTGGGGGTGGGAGCTGTGACGGGGGTGTCTGGAGACTGTGGCTTTTCATTTCCTACCTTTCTCCACTGTTTGAATTTTTACCATAGACATGTATTGACTTACTGAAGTAATTATATATTGAAAATTCGGTTTGAATGAAAACAGTTTAAACAAAGATGAAGCTTCACTTCAGTGGTATTGTCAGGGCTCAGGCACAGACAATCTTAAAAATGGGTATCTTTTCCTGGGATAGCTTCTTCATCCTTCAGTGACCTCCCAGAACAGAACCCATGACTCTATAATATATTAGACCGAACCCATGAATTTAGGGCCAAGTGCTTTAACAAGCCTGTACAACAGTCAGAAAACACTATTTTTAGCTAGAGAGTTTTAGATGCCTTTTTCAAGACCGCCTTAAAAAACACACACGATTTCTTCTTAGAGTCTCAGGTAACAGCCTGAGAGCGGGAGCAAAGCTCGGTGAAGGTCAGACTGTCACTTATTCTGACAGATGTCTGATCTTTGTGGACTTGCTGTCTCTCCCCTAGACAGGTCCTCCCATCCTCCCCATCACCTTCCTGGCTTGATCTTCCCCAGAGCACCTCCTGCCATCTCACACACTCCCTACTTCACTCCTTTATCTTCCTCACTGTCCACCTGTCCCCAGGGACTGGGCTTTTTTTGTTTTTTTTTTTTGGTCACTGCTCTATCTTCAACATCTGGAATTGCACCCAGCACACAGTTTTTACATTCAACAAGTATCTATCAAATCAATGATTGAGTTAATGTACTTATTTTAAAAACCTACCTGGCATTATTATTATGAACAATAAGCTGACTACTGTCAAGATATTTAATTAACTTTCTGTATCTCTGGTTTGCTAGCTATGAAAATAAGAATACTGACACTGCTCTGGTGCATACCTTCATGTGATTTATACCTATGTTCACTGTATACTTAGACCTCTTATCTAGTGCTTGTGCCAGCGGTTTCAGTTCAATGAAGCACTCTCTAATCTCCTGTACTATGGACACCTGGCATCCAGAGATGCTTGTTCACTACTGAACTGAATTTTGTTATCCTAAACCAGAAAGGAAAATCATCCTAGCATCCTAGTGGGACATGGGGTTTTCATATTTAAAAGTAACCATTTGAAGCACAGGAGTCATCTGATGACCATTGCATTTAGCCAGTCACTTCCCCTGCATCCACCCACCATCCACTGCAGACAAACTTCCCCTGGCAGCATTCACAGATCTGTCCTGACACATGCACTCTGTCCCTCCCACACTAAGCTTAAACAACTGCTCAGACGGACTTGCCCTTCCACTGAGTTGACTCACTGTTCAACTGAACTACCCACATGGACAAATGGGGAAACATGTGCTTGGAGGAGCATGAAATGCAATACAAGCATAGAAATGTGAAATTAATATTGATACAAAAATGACATTTGTAAACATAAACTTTAGACAAACTCATTTTTAAAATGTAACAAAGTTATCGATTACAATTGCTTGCCTTTCTTATAAAATTTAAAACTCTCTTTTTTTTTTTTTTTTGCCACAAAGCCTGAATAGGAGAAATCTAACTTTAACCATGAATCCTGATGAGCTTCCAAGAAATTTACATGAGCTACTATGATGATATGCCCTGGAAAGACTCTGAGCTCACCTCACTCTGGCCAGCCCTAGACTGTGGATGCAAAAAGTCAATACATCGTTTTCATTAGTGAATTCCTACTGGCAAATAAATATAGAGCTTAAAGATATACTATGTTAATATATAATATTAGAGGTACACACCACATTCTGTTTCAAGGAACTTCAGCTTGAACTAATTGTACCTCTTGCATTCTGAGCTACACTCTCAGCTTCAGTACCACATGACAAACAGCAATAGAAGGCATGGAGGGTGATATTTCGGGTACACGGTAAAAGTGAGTAGAGACTCATGGGGCTGAAAGATAATTATTCAATAACAGTCCTAAAGCAAGTGGCCTTGGTTAGTGATGAGAAGCTGAATGAAGAGTTTCCCACATTTAATGACCAGTGGTTCTATATGTTCTCTGGATTAATGTTTAGGAGATGAGAGAGAGAGAGAGAGAGAGAGAGCGCGCGCCTCTGGCCCTTCGGTCTCTTGCTAGTTGCAAAGCATGGTTCTGGGTACGGAGCCATACACAGGAGCTGTCGGCAGAAACAGTTCGCTCTAAAGATTCAGAGTCTGAAACAAGGTGTATAACTTCTTGTGGATCTGGGAGTCCATATTTTGAAGTGCATTTCCATTGTATAACTGTCACGATATAGGAATAACCAAAAGAATGTAATCATTTTAATTAAAAAAATGTGTGGGTTAGGTGTCATCTTTACACTCACCAACCCCAGAGGCCCCTTTCCTACCGACACAGGTTGGTTTCGAGAGCGCTGTACAATCCAGCCTCGGCTTCCCACCAACCTCACGTCCCACGTTCCCCTCACCTGCTTCCATGACGTGTGGCAGGCTGCTCACCCGCCTCCCAGTGTGCACTAGCCTGGAGCCTTTGTTCCTTTCGTGTCTCCTGAACCCGCAAAGCCTGTTCCTCCTCAGTTCGCACCACCTTTCAGACATGAGCTAAAGTCCCATCTTCTCAAAAACCTTCCCTGAACCCTCCACCGGCCCTCATTGATTTCTCCTTCCAGAAGTCCTTACAAGCACCCACGGCCCGGGCAGTCCGCTTTCGGAGCTTATTCCATCCACCCGCGTGTCACCTGTTTAGCCTTATCTTTCTGCACAGACCTTGAGAACTCTGAGAGCAAACATCAGGATTTGCTCGTTCTGAAGAAGCAAAGTACTGAGGCACTGAGTCCAGTCCTCTCAACACCAGTGGGCCAGTGGCTGACAGAGGGCTCCAGGGAGACCACTCCTCAGAATCGGCCACAGCCCCAGGAGGGCGGCCAGAGCTGGCCAGCCCAGGGACTCACGGTTCACTGGCCCAGCCCTCTGTGGAATAATCTGCAGGGCGGAATGTTTGCACAAAGGGGTGGGAAAAGGGAAAAGACAGAAGCCCAGGAAAGTCTGCAGAAAAAGAAAATCCTCTTTGGTCACATCCCACCCGAATCAAGGCTAAGATATTTCCTGTTTTTAAGTTAGAGCTATCAGAAGTTTCCCATCAGAACACACCACGGGCTGGCTGACTTATGTAACATGTGTTTTTGTCTTAGCAGTACTCATCTTTTAGATGGAAGATGTTGGTGACAGTAAGTTTCCGATGGAGCTCCCTACTCTGAAAATGCCTACTAAGAAATACTTCCACAGCAATGAGAGAGGCAGTCATGTCAGCACATGTCAAAACCTAACATGCTGCAGCTGAGTCCAAGAGAAATGCAGGCGAGTACACACACAAAATGTTGAAAGGGTGAGAGGTTTTAATATTACCCATCACAACTACAGAAAAGCAGGAGCTCCTTTTCAGAATATACCCAGTCAGTACTTACCTACATATTATGTCTTAGAGCTTCTTCTAGAAAGTGGGATGGATGGTATAGTGTACTGAAGGCTGTGTGCTTTTAATTCAATAAACATTTACATAAACACCTGCTGTGTCCAAGTGTGTGCATGTGTACATGAGTGTGCACGCATGCACATGAGAGAGCATGAGGTGGGGGAGGGGAGGCAGGGAGAAAGAGAGAAACACAGAGGGGTGGTAAGAAAGAGAAAACTTGTGGTTGGCATGTACCAATCCCCTGAGAACTAGTCCTGAGGACAGAAATGGAGAACAGACCTAACATAGATGGCTCATTACCCAAGGAATCAGGAGTCTTTCAACATGCTTTCAGCTTCTGCCTCCTCCAGCCTTGTTGCCATGTCAATGTATTGTGTATAATTGGAGAGCACAATATGGGATGAGGCACTTTGCCATATACTCACTAGGAAATTAAGGTCAACGACTCCTTGGTAGAGCCTACTTCATGGGGAAAGCATGGCCCAGAAAGTTGTCTAGCTCAGCCCTTCCAAATCCTGGCAATTAACCTGGGCCTGGCCTTACACAGGGAGAGAGTCTAAGCCTTCCTGTCAAGGTCAAGTCTGTTACCTCCATCGCTGCAGGTTCTGGAGTCCGAGGCCAGGCTGTCCGTGGAGCCCGTGGTGAAGCTGACGTGGACGCTCCTGAAGGATGGGCTGAGGCTCTCCGCAGAGCCCTGGCTCACTTTTTCCAAATCAGAGCTGCTCTTGTTCATTTTCAAAAGGTGCCTGAAAATTTTGGAACAAACAATGAAAGTGATTAATTTGGTTTCTAGTCAAACACCAGGCTGATTGACCACGAATCTACTATGCTTTTGAAACCTGACCAATGCCAGCAAGTTTTGAAAAAACGATTTTGGGAAGAGAGAACAGGGGCTCTTTTGAAACCTTATGCACATAAATGGCAGGGGATTTCTTGAGTGTGGTTAGGAGGAGTGAGTCTATTAAATTTAGACAAATGCCAAAATCATGATTTGGGAGCAACTGCCTTCATATTCTGGCCCTGTCTGCTAACACATTTATGTCATCTATTATATCCTGTGTAACATCTCTACAAAGAAAAACTGAATATTATCACACAAGCCAATGTATAGAGATATACAGAGACGGGCTAGCTTTTGAAAGATCACAAAACAAGTGGCTGCAAATCAAGACTAAAAATGGTATGTTTTTTTGTTTTTTTTGCCTGGTACTCTCTTGACATATAGCTTCAAAGACTCTAGGTTGTTCCTTGGAATTAGGAGAAACTTCATTTAAATATATATATTTTTAATCCTCACTTGAGGATATTTTTTCCACTGCTTTTCAGAGAGAGTGGAAGAGAGAGGGGAAGGGAGAGAGACAGAGAGAGAAACATCAGTGTGAGAGACAGACATCGATTGGCTGCCCCCCACTTGAGCCCCAACTGGACAATGGACATACATGACCTTGACCAGAATTGAACCCAGACACTTCAGTCTGAGGGCCAACGCTCTAACCACTGAGCCAAACTGGCTAGGGCCTTCATTTAAATTTTAACCGGGCTTCTAGTGCAATGCCCAGACAGAACCATGTTAACATACCCTTTATTCCAGAACTATGGAATAAATTTGCCCTTACGCTTTCTATGACATCTTTTTGTTGCATCTCTAAGACAGCATTACCAACATATCAGGGACAGGAATACCAAGTTCAAAAACAAAGAACTTCACCTTGGAGAAACAGTTCCATTATCGGGTAGAGTGTTTAGTTTATTGATTTCTCCTTCCCCCCTTCCAAGGACTCCATGAATATTCACTCTGACCTGACATTTTCACCACAGAGTGAGACAGACCACAATCAATCCAGGTCTTTCCCTGAGGGTGGTAACCCAGATTTGTCTGAACTGATATTTCCTGATGACATTCTTGTTCCCCAGGCAGCAGATCTATATCTCAATATGTGCTGTAGGAAATATACAATACAGTATTGATTTGGCATCAGAACTGCCTTATTTAATGCAGAGGACCTTACAGTCAAGAATGTATCGATTGTTCTTTGTGCTCAGTGTGGCCAGGCCCTCTACTGGTCTTCACAGTCACTGGAATCCCTTGTTGATTAACAGAAAAGTTTAGAGCAAGTTTTTCTGCTGCCATGAAAAGTGCTTTCTAGAAACATCTTCTTTCCATCGTCAACCCTGAGAACCACTATGAGAAATGTTTTCAAAACAGTTACCCGGAAATGTGACAGTGATAGAAATATTACAATGAATGGTATTTTAATATTTCAGTGTCACTGTAGGGATATTGGAAACATCAAATGCTTAGGAAGGGCTATGGGAGATACGACAGTGTTTCACAAAACATTTTTATCCTATCAGATCCATCAGTAATGGCTTCTCAGATGAAGCCAATCTGAAGTTGTGAATACTGACAACCCCCCAGTCTAGAAGGGAAGCCAACTCTGCAGCAATCCAACCACTCCGCCCCCTCTGGTCTCTCTTGGGTCTTCAGGCCCAGAAAATTGCCAAGGGAGAAATTCCAGCACTGTAGCTGCTGAGCTGGCACAGCTCCCCATTCCACAAACTTAGAAAAACACGCAATGACATGTATATAAATAGATAAAACTAAAAAATACACAAATGTGCATATGAGTACACACACGCACAAGTATTTAAAGTAACAGTGAAGCACTGAAAGAAAAGAGGGGCCTCGGTACCAGAGCACTACACGATGCGCTTCCACACCAGGGCATGCTTGCTGCAGGTCGGGGTAGGTGCTCTTTATCAGGTTAAGGAAGTGTTTCTATTAAGTTTCCTAAGTGTTTCATATTCTTAAGTCATTTATAGTTATTGAGTTTGATAAAATGTTTTTTCTACATCTCCACAAAAATCATTGTTTTCCTCATTTATTCTGTTAGTGTGATGAGTTACATTAGTAATTTGCACAGTTTGCATAAACTTAATTTACTACACATGCTGGATTCCGTTTCACTAATATTTCACTTAGGATTTTGACATTTCCATTCAAATGGGGGGGTTAGCCCACAGTTTTCCTTCTTGTACTGTTCTTGTCTATAATTTTGGTATAAAGGTTAAACCTGAGTCATAAAGTGAATTGGGTGGCTTTTTCTCCTTTTCAGTGATCTTATGTAGTTTGTGTAAGACAGGGATTATGTGTTTCTTGGAAGATTGCTAGAACTTCAATGTCCATCATAAAGAAATGGATATATTGTGATATAATCTTATAATGGAATATTATATAACATTCAAAAATAAGTGCACTTGATTTTAATATGAAAATGAAAATGATTCTTAAAATGAATATTACGAGTAGCTTTCAAAAGACTCAAGCACAGTATACCAATGGTATTAAGTGTATATACCATTTATATACATTTTTAAAACAGCGTTATATATTTTTGAAATAATGCTCATCAACTTCAAGATAGTGATTACTCTAGGTAGCAATGGGAAATTGAAATGGAAATTAGGTAAGGAGGGATCCTGCATTGTACCTGTAATGTTTTATTTTAAAAATCTAAAAAAAAAAAGCAAAATATTAATACTTGAAAACTCTTAGGAAGATACATGAATGTCAGTTAAATTATTTTTGAACTTTCCTGTATGTTGGAAATATTGGATAAACTGAAAATGAACATTTCTAGAAGGAATGAAAATCACCAAGGCTTGAATGAGCATAGGGATGACCACTCTGTTGACCTAGTGGTGAGTCTCTGTAAGGCATGGAACACAAGGGACAACCCAGTGGGATTTCCATGAGGCCCGACAGTAGGACAGGCAGGCTCAGTGAGGGTTGATCCCACCAAAGACAGCCTTGTGGGTGAAAAAAGTTATTTCTCAGACCTGACAACTCCTCTGAGACTCTGAGGGTCAATTCTTCTGCATATAGCTACTATGAGGGGAAAGTCACAGTTCTGAAGACACACCAAGTGAATGCAGACAAAATCAGAGTATTCCTATGATTGCAGGATAAATTCTCCGCAGCCTGTGTGTGTGTGTGTGTAGGCAAGTGGGGAGCCTCCTGAAGCTGACTTTGGTAAATCTTAGTTTCCAAGCCACAATTTCATGTCGTCATGGCTTCTGGGGACATTACTGCTGTTTCTCTACTAAAAAAAGCCTCAAGAAGCCCAGGTTCCCACAGGTAACTAAAACCCAAAAGGCATTTGGATGCTCAGATGTAAACGGGGAGGGAAAGGAGTGACCTTTTCTCTTAACCGCAAATTCTTGGGAGTGATGACCCCTTTGCGTGAGATGCATCAGACATGTTCCACCCTGGAAACCTGTCCAATCTGCATTCTGAGAGAATTTAACTAGAAAATGAGCAAAACCACACTGGATTTCAGAAAGAAAGGGAAGCTGGCCACCCCATGTGAGACTGACAATCGGGTTGTTTCTGTGTCTTCAGTCTGTGTGTGCAATAGATTTCTTTAAAAAAAAAAATCTCTGGAAAGGGCTGAATAGTCCAAAGGTGACATTTCTGGGTCCCTGTAGATTCTTCTGTCAGACCTACGGCCAAATGGGAATCCAAATACACACAACAACACACAACAAACCTATACTTAGTTCTTTTTAAGGGCACTTTTCCCTCGTTAATGATAGTTTGTCTTTCAAAAAAGCAGTGCAAGCCATCTATATGATGAAATCTGATGTCATGTCATTTAAGGAAGTGGTTTCAATGGGCTAAAACCACACAGTCCAGTCCTTCCTCTTTGGGGGTGAGTAAGGCTCTTATCGGGCAGTGGGGACACAGCCCCGCACAGATGTCTCGCTCACGCAGTGTGATAAGTGACGCGTTCTTGCTCCGGCTTCCTTTCCGGCCGCCCCCTGTTGATCAGACACGGTCCCGGGCCAGCAGGGTGACCTGCGCGGCCAGTGGGACGGCGTCCTTAGAGACTCGAGCCCCGCAGCTGCTGCCCAGTGTTTTCAGAATGGCTTTTCCCCCCATTGTCCTCAGAGAAAGGAGCCTCGCCAGCGCTCCCCGCGCAGCACTGGGAGAAAGCTAGAAAAATAATCCAGGCGGAAGGGCCATCTGCCAGACTTCCTCAGCTGGAGGAACGGCCCCTGCTAAAAATACCCGAGCCTTCGGAATGTCCGAAATTCCTAGTGGGTGCCGGCCCCGGTGTGCAGAGGCTGTCCGTCCAACTCCACATGGCTGCTAGA